TAATTCCCTACCACTTTGTAACTCTGTATTGTCTGTATTGTGCTTGTGATATGTTGTAAAATGTTGTATGTCTGTTAATGTTTCTCTCCTTTTATCTTTAAAATTAAAAAAAAAAAATGAAAGGAGGAAAGGTTTATTTCAACTCACGGTTTTGAAGGTTTCAGTCCAGAGTCAGCAGGCTCCGCTGCAATGGCCCTGTGGTGAAGCAGAAACCTCACGGCAGAAGGGTGCAGTGGAGAAAGCTGCTCCCCTCACAGTGGCCATGGAGCAGAGAGAGAGGGAAAGAACAGGAGAGGAAGGGGTGGAGGCCCAGATACAGCCCCAGGGTCACAGCCCACAATCCACTCCTTTCAAGTAAGCCCCACCTCCTGTTCCACCACTCAATAAGCCATCTTATTATGATCTCATCAGTGCATTCCTAAGTCCACTTGATACAGTCACTTCCCCAAAGCCCATCAGGTGGCTTTGAGGGAACACTTTAGATTTAAACTATTAACAAGTAGTACTTCTGGGGCTGGGGATTTAGCTCAGCAGCACAGGGCCTGCCTGGCAAGTGCAACGTCGTGAGTTCGATTCCCGGTACGGGAAAAACAAACAAACAAAAAAAAACAACAAGTAGTACTTCTGGGTTGGTGAACTAAAGCCATCCCTTCCCACCCCCAGATTCCACTCCTCCATAAAAGTCCAGAGAACATGAAGGGGAAAGTATAAACAAAACAAAATTTGTCAAAGTCAACTTCACAGAGATCTGAAAATTAACTAAAGGCTTACACCAATACGAAGAGTATAATTTTTTAAAAGAAAAGAAAAGCAGCTGAATCTTGGTAGGACTGCAAGCTTTGTGATACTTTTTAATTTGCACTGGTCTCATTCCTCCTTTTTTTCTAGCTCTGAGGTAACCTTAAAAACCAGCAGCTTCACAACCACAGTAGCCATGACAACCAGCAGCTTGGCAACCACTTGAAGGGACAGAATAGATTTGAAACTCCCCTTTCCCATTCAAAACAAAACAAAAATCCCAGACAACTGTTACTATCTGCCTATTCTGGCAGCTCCCTGGAAAAGCTCCATGCATAAGTCTCCCTGTATCTGACCTCATTTAGAACCTGCTCTGTGTGTATTTATCTGGGACCATAAGTGTCAATTAATTAACATCACAGTGCCACCGCCAGCGCCCCAGAAAGAAAAACCTTCAAAAGGAAGATGCAGGAAATGAAGTATCTAGAGAGGGCTTTTAGGGGTGTCCATTAAAGGCTTTCAAAACTCTAATATATTCTTTGGATTTAGAAGGTCATGCTCATAGCTGGGACTGTACACATACGCAGGAAATAGCTGAGAAATCCTAATTTCCTACCTCTGGTTTCCCTTAAGGATCTACGCAAGGAAGAAATGAAAGCAAATTCAGAATTGTAAATCACTGGAACATTAAGGTTTGCCCCAAAACCTCTGTCTAATACTTGCATGAATTTCTGCTTCTAGCTAAGCAAAAGTTTCAACGGCCATTAAAAAATCATATACCATAACCAAGTGGGATTTATCCATGGAATGTAAGGTTGGCTTAATATCCAAAAATCAGTCAATGGAACATACAGAATTATTGGAATAAAAAGTAAAAAATATATCTTGATATTTGCAGAAAAATAAAATAATGGAATCCAACACCCCTTTGTCATAAAACACTTTTAAAAAGAATAGAACTTCTTCAACTTGATTAAAGTATCTTGGAAACATGAACAGCTAAATCATACTTAATGATGAAGAGGAAATGCTTTCCCCTAAAATTAGGAACAAGACAAAATGTTCATTCATCCCATTTCTATTCAGCATTGTACTTGAGAGTTTAGTCATGGCCATTAAGCAAGAAAATGAAATTAAAATGCATCCAGATTTGAAAATAAGAAACAAATGATCTCTACTGGCAAATAGCATGATCTTATGTATTTAAAAAATCCTAATCAATCCACAAATAAACTATTGAACTAATAAATAAATTTAACAAAGCTGTAGGCTATAAGATCAATGTACAAAAATCATATTTCTCTATACTAACAATGAAAAATTTGAAAATTATATTAAGAAAACAATTCTATTTATAGTAGCACCAAAAATAATAAAATACTTAGGAAAAAGTATTTTTTACAAAGCAACCATAAGAATTGCACATAGAGAACTACAAAACAGTTTGAAAGAAAACCTAAAAAAATCAAGATATCTTATTTTACAGGTCAAAAGACTTCATACAGTTAGAAAGGCAATACTCCCCCAAGTTGCTATAGAACCCAACAGTAAAGAATAAAAACTAAAGATTAAAGTATGGACAAATTAGCCACTTCTCCGAAGATAAAAATGGCCAAGAAGTATATAAAAAGGCACTCCACATCATAAATCATCAGGGTAAAACAAATTAACACCACAGTGAGATATCACTTCATACCTGTTAGCATGGTTATTGTCAAAAAGATAAGAGTTGACAAGGGTGTAGGGAAAAGGAAAACTTCTACACTACAGAAGAGAATGCAAAGAAGTGCAATCATGTGGAAAATAGTATGGAGGTTCCACTAAGACTTAAAAGATGGAACTACCATATGACCCAATAATCTTGCTGCTAGGTGTATATACCCAAAAGAAATAAAAATAAACACCTCATAGAGATATCTCTACTCCAGTGTTCACTGTGGCATTTTTTGCAAGAGCCAAGATAGGGATACAGCATAAATGCTCAGCAGTGGATGAATGGATAAAAAATTTGTGATCTCAGTTCACGAGCTTAGTGCTTTCCATGATTCTGGTCACAAACTGAATTGGACAAGAACTGAATCAAATTCAATGGCTAAGTTCAATGTTGAACTTATGGGGAAATAGATTTTATATATGTATATATAATATATGTACTCTACACACACACATATATATATATATATATATAGAGAGAGAGAGAGAGAGAGAGAGAATATCAGCCTTTAAAAAGAAAGAGATTTTGCCATTTATGAAACATGGGTGAGCCTGGAAGACATTATGCTAAGTGAAGTAAGCCAGACACAGATATAAAAGCACTGCATGATCTCACTTATATGAAAATCTTTTTTTTTAAGTTGAATACACAGAAACAGAAATGAAAATGGTGGTATGAAGCAGGGAAGAAATGAGGAGATGTAGATCAAAGTGTAGGGTGAATAAGTCTAGAGGCATAATGTAAAACATGAGGACTATAGTCACTGCATACTAGAAACTTGCTCAAAGAATAGATTTTAGATGTCCTTATCCCCTCACTCACACACACAAAGGATAGCCAGTGAGATGATGGATGTGTTAATTTACTGTAGTAATCATTTCACTGTGTATAAATACATTGAAACATCATGTTTATACCTTAAGTATATGCAATAAAAAATCAAATTGGTCTATAGATTCAGTGCAGACTCTATTAAAATCCCAGCTGCCTTTTCTCTCTTTTTTATTTAATGGAATCTGACAAGATACTCCTAAAATCCATATGGAAATGCAAAAACCCAGAAAAACCAAAGCAATATGAAAAATAGCAAAGTCGGGGCATCCACATTTTCCACCTACAAAACTTACAGCAGAACAGCATGGTAATGACACAGAGATAAACATATCAAATGGAAAGAGTTGAGAGTCCAAAAGTACATTCTCACATGTGCAATCAACTTATTTTTGACAAGACTCAAAGGCAATCCAGTGGGGAAATTTCCTTTTCCAAAAATGCCACTGAAATAACTGGATACCCACATGGAGACTGGATATCCAGTGTAAAATTAGACTCCAGGCTCACACTGTAGCCAAAATTGACTCAAAACAGCCACCTACCTAAATGTAGGAACTGGAACTACAAACTACTGAGAAAAAAAATAGGTAAATCTTTCTGACCTTGGGTTAGGCATCCTTCCTTTGATATCAAAAAAGATAACAAAGAAATAGACAAATAGAACTCTACCAAGATTAAAAACTTGCTCTTTAAAAAGCCCCAACCAAAAAAAAAAATGACAATTAATAGAATAAGAGTGAGTAGCATATGAAAAGATTACAAAAATCATTAATCATTTGAGAAATACAAATCAAACTCACAAGACACCACTTCACAATCCCTGAATTAGCTAGAATCAAGACATGATAAAAGTATGAGTGAGGATATAGAGAATTTGGAATCCTTGTTCCTTGGTAACAGTCATACAGTCATGCAGTAACCTTGGAAAAAATGTTTGGCAATTCCTCAAAGTGTTAAACATGCAATTGCCATATAACCCAGGAATTTCATATATATATGATATATATATATGAGAAATGAAAGCAAAAACAATTATTGAAATAACCATTTCAAGAAAATAAAACCAAAGAAAGTAGAAGGAAGGAAACAATAAAGATAAGAACAAAAATTAAGAGCATGGAAGACTGTTGAGGACTGGGCTGTATAGAGGTTAAGTTGCTGACCACAGTGTTCTAAAGACCAGATAACACTGCCACTGTGAATCGTTGGCAGTTTATTGCTTATTCCAGAGCAATAAACTACCAACCTTAGAGATAAGACAGTTCTCCTGATTGGCAAAATTTACTGCCTAAGAATGTCTTTATTCTAACTTCGCAAGGCCTTGCTCAGCTTCTCACCTTTACCTTAGCTTTTCCCTTCACTTTCCCTCAAACCCTCCAAACTTGTTCGAAATCCAATAAATGCAGACAATCCGCAGAAGTCTTTCTTTCAGCTCTGAGAGAGTTCTTCAAAAACCTATTGTATTTTTATTTACAAGGAATGAACAACTAGAAAATGAAAATTTCAAAATAACATTTATAATATCACCAACAAAAATCAAAATTGTAGGAATAAGCCCAAAGAAAAATTTTACACAGAATCAACAAAATATTGTTGCTAATATTATATTTCTGGTTATTAATGACTAGTAAAGACAGGTTGTGTCCAAACATAAAAATATTTATTACAATAAATATTTTAATTATCAACAATTTAACCTATTATATTCAGTGTAATCCCAATATAAATTCTAGTAATTTTTTAATTCCTGGAAATTAAAAAGCTATTCTAAAATTTATATGGAACTACAAAGGGATGAAAGAAGTCATTTTTGTAGAAGGCATTAGACTGTTTTACTTTATTTTAGATTAAAGGTCTTGCTATATAGTCGAGGCTGCCCTTGAACTCAGTATGCAGCTCAGGCTGGCCTCAAACTCACAGCAATCCTCCAGTCTCAGCCTCCTGACTGTTGTTTTTAATGTAGTCATTACCATTTTCTTTTTTTCTATTTCTTCTTGCATTTCAGAATTTCTCCTGGGTTTATTTCTTTTTTCCTGAGTTATATTCTTAAAGTTACAAATAAA